GTGGTAGTTACAGTAGGGGTGGTAGTTACAGTAGGGGTGGGAGTTACAGTAGGGGTGGTAGTTACAGTAGGGGTGGATGTTGCTGTAGGGGTGGTAGTGACAGTAGGGGTGGTAGTTACAGTAGGGGTGGGAGTTGCTGTAGGGGTGGTAGTGACAGTAGGGGTGGTAGTTACAGTAGGGGTGGTAGTTACGGTAGGGGTGGTAGTTACAGTAGGGGTGGTAGTTACAATAGGGGTGGTAGTTACAGTAGGGGTGGTAGTTACAGTAGGGGTGGTAGTTACAGTAGGGGTGGTAGTTACAGTAGGGGTGGTAGTTACAGTAGGGGTGGTAGTTACAGTAGGGGTTGTAGTTGCAGTAGGGTCGGTAGATACAGAGGGGTGATAGTTATAGTAGGGGTGGTAGTTACAGTAGGGGTGGTAGTTACAGTAGGGGTGGGAGTTACAGTAGATGTGGTAGTTACAGTAGGGGTGGTAGTTACAGTAGGGGTGGGAGCAGATAAAGGCAGAAACCCGCGGTCGACAATAAATAAATAAACAAATGGTAGAGTACCCGCCAGTCTCGAGCAAAGGTAACCAATAAAACATAGGTCCTTTAGGTCCTATAGGTCCTATAGGTCCTACTCTCTATAGTGTTCACAGTGGGCGGGAACATGCGACAACAGCCAATTAAAATGGCGTAACGAACCGGATGAAGCAGACGACTTTCTATAAATACACAAATAAACAAGCCTACAAGGTTCATACCAGATGATACACCTGAACGCCTACATACGATTGATCATAGCTATACCAAGACAGGTAACACGCTTTTTTTTTATTTTTAACTGCCCACATATGTTATTAGGAAACACTCTCGCAGAGCTGCTAATTAAAAATCGGCATTTCCTAACTTTTTAAACACATACACTATGTTAATTTTAAAAGAGCGAGGTGTGAAGTGTCATCATTCAAATTTTGTAAGAGCACAATAAGTGGTCGTTTATTTTAGTATCATGGTATTAGAAGAGCCAATTTTTTTTTCTGAGTGTTTGATAGTTATGGTTGTTTCGTGTGACTAAGATAGTTTTCTCTAAGTTACGGTCAGTGCCGGCGCCAGGTTATTTAGCACCCTAGACAAAACTTATTAAAACACCCCCTTTCACACAAATTAATTACTTAAACATATGTATAAGAAAACAATTAACTAAAAGTGACATATCAACTTATTATCAATTGCATACACGTTATAAGTAGACATCAAAATCACATTTTACTAGCCTCCTTCGTCTCAAAAGTTTGTACTAATTCCTTTAATTCCAGTTTGCAAGCGTAATCACATTTTATTGAAATTGTTGCTAAGTGCACGAGTCTACTTTGTCCTTTACGACCAGTGTTTCTTCCAGACTTTTTTCTCCGGGGGGGGGGGGGGGGCACTTGAAATCTTCGGGGGGGGGGGGGCGGTAAACTTTCTTCGGGGGGGCGGACACTGTTAAAAGTATATATTTTCTATATAAATTATATAAATTTCATTTCGTTCGGGGGGGGGGGGGGGGCGGTAAAATTTTTTCGAGATGCCTGGAAGAAACTCTGTTTACGACATAGCCCCCCACTCTCCCCCCTTAGAAAATTTTAAGTGCTCTCCCCCCTCCCGGGAGAAAAAAGTCTGGAAAAAACCACTTAAAAAGTTCTTGTAGTGTTGGGCTCTGTGCAGTCCTCCCAAGGTGAGTTCCAGAACGGAACTTACCTGTTTTAAGCTTGACTGTCTTTAGTTATAATTGTAAAATGTCTATATTGTGTGATTATTTAAAGATTTTTTGGTTTTGAAAAATAAAAGTTTATAAATGATATAGATTCTAGCCTAAAATTGCTATATATGAATCCTTTAGGAGAGGGTGAAAAATATGAAAAGACCATTAATTAGATGTTTAAAATACGACAAAGACTGTATGTCTACTAACATTAAGTATTGCAATCTATAACGGCTACTGATGTATTTGTTTTTCAACTTTATAATGCTAAAAAAACCAACCAATTTTGTTTAGAACTTAAGCTCTATATAATTGTTACAATAGCAAATAATAACTTAAGGTTGGGGGTCGTCCATAAATGACGTCACACTCGTAGGGGGGAGGGAGGTCCGTAATTTTGTGACAGTGTGTGATGGGGGGGGGGGGGGGGTTCAGATTGTGCGACGTCACACTTTTGCATTATAAAAATGCAATGTTAGAAAAAGAATTTTAGACGTTATTTCGCGTTTTAGAAAACCTTTTTTATAAATTGATTAAAATACTCTATTTTGACAGGGTTTAGACAAGATTTTGGAAAAATATCGATATTAAAAAAAAAATTCAACTGCAATTTTGAGGGGGGTTGTACGCTGAGGTGTGACGTCATTTTAGGGGGGGGGGGGGGGTCTGGCTTTTTGTGACGATGTGTGTAAGCGGTCAACCTAAGGTGCAGGAAATTGAAATATAAGTAGAGTTTAGCAATGAATTATCTCCCATTTGAAAATCCAAATACCAAAATTTTATTCAAGGGAAATAACTTTCACAAGAATAGCTCAATTGACAAAGTGTAACTAAGACATGCTTGAAAAACACAATAAAACGCTCTAAATTTCATTACGTAATATTTATAACAAATGTTTTATATTAGCTTTGAAACCGTGTCAAAAACAATATATTTTACTTATTGAATACTTAAATGTAGGTTTTGTTTGTGAGTCTAAAACCGGTAGCTTTAGTATAACATACTTCAATTTAACTTTGATGCCATACATTTTATCGCGGTGTGTACATCTTATACATCCAGAAATTTTGGATCCCCTAAATAAAGGGACGCTTTCAAAAAATCAAACACCGGTAACTGTTTTGGATATTGCTAAAATTATTGATTAGATATAAAAATAATTGAAATTTGAAAAAAAAACCCCCTAAGTTGACGGTCAGTTATAAATTCTATCCCGTTTAATGTTATATATTAAAACCTTAAGAGTGGCAATACAGATTCCTAAAAACTAAAGATTTTTCAACCAGAGAACGACTACCATTCCTTGTAGTGTGTTCCGTACTGAATTGAAATCATCTAACTTACGATAAACTCGACTACTCGATATACTCTACTACACTCACAACACATATCAAACTTCGATACCTAAACATAACTAGACTCGATGCTCCAGAACTACGACACCAACTCGTTTACTTCACCAAGCTCTACTAACGATAGGCCTACTCCCAATCAAACAACGATTTCACTGGACCTACTACTACACTTTAACAGTCAATATAATTCGATACCTTAATACCACAAAAATCAATACTCCCGAACTCCAGAACTACGATACTTCATCACCTGAATTATCATTTCTCTATTACCAATCAGATTCCACTAGACCTACAACTACACAACAGCCAAATAAAAAATACGACACTTTAGCACTTAGATACTTTATACCTACGAAACCATAACAGCAACAGCCTTCCGCCGTTACTCCCAAATCTAAACGATTCAACAAAACTTACCAAACAAGTAGGCTATAATACTTTGAACACCCCATCATTACAAAACTCTATACACCAGGACATATTTCTAATTCAAAGTCAGAGAAAACGAGACTTACAAGCCCTATTAAAATGTTCGAAATTTAAATTACGAACTTATTTAAATTTAATAGTTTTTTTAAAATCAGTTAGGTGACACCAAATTAAAAAGACAAAGTGACTAGTAAAAAGAGCCCGACCATTCGAAATTAGGGAGGCGGGGTTGCATTTTCACTATCGCGACTAAATATAGGCCTATATAGTTATATAGACCTAATTTTGGGGTGGGGTGCACAATTGATAGTTCGTCCTGGGTGCCAAAATAGATCGCTATACCTTTATAAAAGTTATTAATTATTAGGTACTTTTTGATAATAGCGATTAAACCTTTTGCGCCCCCATGGGATGGCGCCCTAGGCGACCGCTTAGTTTGCCTTTTAGATGGCGCCCGCCCTGGTTATGATCGTATTGAATGGCTGACTAAGTTATGGTCGTTTTGTCTAACTAAGTTATGATCGTTTTTTCTAAGTTATGGTCGTTTTGTCTAACTAAGTTATGATCGTTTTGTCTAAGTTATGGTCGTTTTGTCTAACTAAGTTGTGATCGTTTTGTCTAAGTTATGGTCGTTTTGTCTAACTAAGTTATTATGGTTTTGTCTAAGTTATGATCGTTTTGTCTAACTAAGTTATGATCGTTTTGTCTAAGTTATGGTCGTTTTATCTGACTAAGTTATGGTCGTTTTGTCTGACTAAGTTTTGATAGTTTTGTCTAAGTTATGGTCGTTTTGTCTAAGTTATGGTCGTTTTGTCTGACTAAGTTATGGTCGTTTTGTCTGACTAAGTTATGGTCGTTTTGTCTGACTAAGTTATGATCGTTTTGTCTAAGTTATGGTCGTTTTGTCTGACTAAGTTATGATCGTTTTGTCTGACTAAGTTATGATCGTTTTGTCTAAGTTATGGTCGTTTTGTCTGACTAAGTTATGATCGTTTTGTCTGACTAAGTTATGATCGTTTCGTCTAAGTTATGGTCGTTTTGTCTAAGTTATGGTCGTTTTGTCTAAGTTATGGTCGTTTTGTCTAACTAAGTTATGACCGTATTGTTTGACTAAGTTCTGGTCGTTTGGCCTGACTATGTTACTATCATTATTTTGTTTGACTAGACATATGGACAGTTCTGCCTATACTTCCCACACAGCTGTGTCGTGTAACATACACACATAAACATAGACTATACCTGTGTCGCTAGTCAGCCTTGAACAGGTATCCTGTGCTGCCTATAAATAGACATGTAATGTAGTCCTGGTGTCTGTGATATGGTGTTTACACTTGCGACATGTATACTATATATGCCTAGAAAAAAATCACCATAATAAATTTTATCAGAACACGTATAGGGTTGGGGGTGGGGGGACTGACTCGCAAATCACGAAGTATTTTTTTCTAGACATGTATGATACACATGTATGATATACATGTCGCAAGTGTAAACGCGGTGTTAGGTCGTAAAATGTCGTAGGTAGACAAGGCTTAGATGTCTGAAAATATTGAAAGGCTAGGATCGAGTTACAGCGTGTCTATGGTGGTGAGTTTGATCTAGCTGTACCGTTTGTTGTGTGGGTCTAGCTGTACCGTTTGTTGTGTGGGTCTAGCTGTACCGTTTGTTGTGTGGGTCTAGCTGTACCGTTTGTTGTGTGGGTCTAGCTGTACCGTTTGTTGTGTGGGTCTAGCTGTACCGTTTGTTGTGTGGGTCTAGCTGTACCGTTTGTTGTGTGGGTCTAGCTGTACCGTTTGTTGTGTGGGTCTGGCTGTACCGTTTGTTGTGTGGGTCTGGCTGTACCGTTTGGTGTGTGGGTCTAGCTGTACCGTTTGTTGTGTGGGTCTGGCTGTACCGTTTGTTGTGTGGGTCTGGCTGTACCGTTTGTTGTGTGGGTCTGGCTGTACCGTTTGTTGTGTGGGTCTGGCTGTACCGTTTGTTGTGTGGGTCTAGCTGTACCGTTTGTTGTGTGGGTCTGGCTGTACCGTTTGTTGTGTGGGTCTAGCTGTACCGTTTGTTGTGTGGGTCTAGCTGTACCGTTTGTTGTGTGGGTTTAGCTGTACCGTTTGTTGTGTGGGTCTAGCTGTACCGTTTGTTGTGTGGGTCTAGCTGTACCGTTTGTTGTGTGGGTCTAGCTGTACCGTTTGTTGTGTGGGTCTAGCTGTACCGTTTGTTGTGTGGGTCTAGCTGTACCGTTTGTTGTGTGGGTCTGGCTGTACCGTTTGTTGTGTGGGTCTGGCTGTACCGTTTGGTGTGTGGGTCTAGCTGTACCGTTTGTTGTGTGGGTCTGGCTGTACCGTTTGTTGTGTGGGTCTGGCTGTACCGTTTGTTGTGTGGGTCTAGCTGTACCGTTTGTTGTGTGGGTCTGGCTGTACCGTTTGTTGTGTGGGTCTAGCTGTACCGTTTGTTGTGTGGGTCTAGCTGTACCGTTTGTTGTGTGGGTCTAGCTGTACCGTTTGTTGTGTGGGTCTAGCTGTACCGTTTGTTGTGTGGGTCTAGCTGTACCGTTTGTTGTGTGGGTCTAGCTGTACCGTTTGTTGTGTGGGTCTAGCTGTACCGTTTGTTGTGTGGGTCTAGCTGTACCGTTTGTTGTGTGGGTCTAGCTGTACCGTTTGTTGTGTGGGTCTAGCTGTACCGTTTGTTGTGTGGGTCTAGCTGTACCGTTTGTTGTGTGGGTCTAGCTGTACCGTTTGTTGTGTGGGTCTAGCTGTACCGTTTGTTGTGTGGGTCTAGCTGTACCGTTTGTTGTGTGGGTCTAGCTGTACCGTTTGTTGTGTGGGTCTAGCTGTACCGTTTGTTATGTGGGTCTAGCTGTACCGTTTGTTATGTGGGTCTAGCTGTACCGTTTGTTGTGTGGGTCTAGCATGGGTAAACTCTTAAGGCGGCACTTGAAGGTTTCTAATAGTTTTACACGTTTTAAGTAGAGCTTCATTACATATTGACAAAATTTAGCTTATACCGAGTCATACGAAGCTTTGAGTGGTTTATTTTAAGAGCTTATAGTATAGAAGAAAATTAAACCATCCAAAAAGTAAATAACGTAAAACGAGATTTTAAAAAAATGCATTAAAAAGTTTTAATAACAAGATTTTATGCAACAATGCACTAAAAAGAAGAAAATCTATAATTTTCTTTAAATATAATAATGCACTACTCTTTAAATAACTAAAAAGAAAAGCGTGGAATTAAAAGATAATTAAATGTGTATAAGGAATAATGCATGTCTCATTACATTGTCATTATATCTTGACCTACATGTCAAGTTTGAAGAAAATCGCTTGGGTAGAAATGGGTGGTTTTTCAATCGCAGACTTCCACCCAAGGCGGAAGCGGACTAAAAAACCAGTTCAATAAAAGAGTGTAGTAATAAAAAAAAACTTAGTAAAAACAAACATTAAAATGCAATAAGATAAGAAAATTAACATTTAACTTATTTAGGCGAAGTAGTAAAAGTATTTGCCGCTCTAGAAAATACATTGAAGCCAAATATACCGAGACAACAAAATGCAAATATTATAAAGTGAACAATGCTGAGTTTTGTAGTCAGTTGGATTAACAACTCACTTGAGTTAAATATGGCGCTGGGCCAGAGGCGTAGCGACCCTTCCCGGCGCCCGGGGACAAACTTTCAATTTGGCGCCCCCCTCGGGATCAACCTTTCAATTTTCGATTTGCACCCCCCTCAAACTTTCGATTTGCACCCCCACCCTCGAACTTTTGATTTGCCCCCCCCACCCCCGTCATATATTTTTTATATATATAAAGCTAAAATGCAGGTAAAATTAGATTTTAATTTTTTTTCCAACCCATTTTGGCGCCCCCTAAGGTCGGCGCCCGGGGACATATATACCCCCCTGCCCCCCCTTTGCTACGCCTCTGCGCTGGGCAGCTCCAGTTGAGGAACTCTGAGTTATCGTGTTACACCCGACCTAGTGGCGTCGTTTTACACCAAGAAGCGTTTAAATAATATTTACAAAGTATTGAATGTAGTTTTAACATTTCAGACAACATCTCAAGATGGAGTTAGCCGCACCCCACAGCTTGTTCCGTGTTATGGTCATCTTCTCGCTGGGTCAGCTGGTCAACTCCCAGGACTGCGGTGCCGTGTTTCCACGGTGCCAGTGTTATGAAGGTCCGGTATTTGACTGCTCTAGCAGAGGACTGACCGCCCTGCCCAATCTGACCATGCCCTTCACGACCTTGATACAGGAGATGAGACTCAACAACAACAGCTTCACCACGTTGGGATCCGATGCTTTCCATGGACTCAGGATCAAAGGGATAGATTTAAGAGGAAACCCTATAGGCAGTGTCCATTCTAGTGCGTTTCAAGGGTTGGTTGTAGACTTGAAAATATTGTATTTGGATGGAGACAAAACATCAGTAGTACCAATAGATACCCTAAAGGCGCTAGTCAACTTGGAGGAACTTGTACTGAGGAACTATGGGATATTACATTTATTAAACACAGATAATTACTTTAGGGGTCATCCATAAATGACGTCACGCTTTTTTTGACGATTTTTACCTTCCCCCTCCCCTCCGTCACACGTCGTCTCAAAAAGTCAGACCCACCCCCCTAAAATGACGTCACACCTCAACCTACAACCCCCCTCAAAATTGCAGTTGAATTTTTTTAAAACATCGATATTTTTCCAAAATCTTGTCTAGACTATTACAATTTATTAAAACAGTTATCTAAAACGCGAAATAACGTCTAAAATTCGTTTTCTAACATTGCTTTTTTATAATGCAAAAATGTGACGTCGCAACATCTGAACCCCCCCCCCTCCCCCTCATCACACATCGTCACAAAATTACGGACCCCCCCTCCCCCCTACGAGTGTGACGTCATTTATGGATGACCCCTTATGTATTTTCCCAAATTAAAATACCTTACACTCGATAACTGGGGTCTAACATCTATTGATGACGACCCATTCCATGGGCCAACTGAGTTGTTAAATCTGGTTGTCAGCAACCAGAATATTGTAGGTCTCCCCGTTGACGCGCTCCACTCGACAGCTTTATCCAAATTAAAAAAGTTAACCTTCTCAAACTGTCACAATGTAGACACGGTTACTCAATCAGCATTTGCGAACCTTGCCGCCATACAGGAGATAGACTTAAGTTATAATTTTATACACACTTTAGATAACGATTGCTTTAAGGGCATTGGCGACACTCTGATCAAACTAAACCTGTTTGGTAATTCGCTGCTTCCGTCTAATAGTCCGACACTGGCAGGACTAAAAGGTTTAACTGTGCTCCAAGAGTTGGACATGTCGCACAATGAAAACCTTCAAACGCTTCCCAACTTGTCTCAGCTAGGTAACCAACAACCTCTCAAGTTGTACTTAAACAACAACAAAATTTTAAGTCTTGGCGCCAACAGTGTTGCAGCTATAGCTACCACACTACAGACTTTAAATCTTTCAATGAACCAAATTCAGTACATTGACGTGAATGCTTTTGCTGGGATAAAAACGCTTCGAGTTTTAGATCTTTGCAAACAAGACATAGGAACTCAAGAAATTTTAACCGTTCCACACTTAAACGAGTCGTCTTCTACATTAAAGGAGTTGTACCTGTCAGGTCAAGCGGTCAACCCGGACTCTCTGTGGTCGGCCATTACTGACCTCACACAGCTGACCGTTCTAAGCGTCTCAGCAACAAAACTCAGCACTATACCAAGCTTTGCATTGAAGAAACTGACCGCACTATCTCAACTGGACATTAGCTTTAACAAAATATCCTCACTGACTCCCGACATGCTCGTTGGTCCACGAAACTCGCTCAAAGTTTTAAACATAGCCGGCAACCCCATCACCACTCTGTCATCTTGTTTGTTCCATGGCTACACAAGTTTTCCACTGAGCATCGTTCTAGACTCGCCGCTACAGTGTAACTGCGCCATACTCTGGTTGTGGGAGCGACTCAAGAACAACACAATTGTAGTTCCAGCCTCGGCGAAATGTACAGACAACGTGCCGATCTCCGACAAAACTCTAGCTGAAATATGTCCAGGTCCGTATACAGATCCTGTGTGTACTGAAAACTATCTACCGCCCATCCTGACATTCTTAAGACTAGAGGCGAGCCAGAGAAACATTATTCTGCAATGGACGCTGTCGGACAAAAGAGACCTGGTCGACTACATGCTGCAGTTTGGGCCAGAGTCGGGTGATGTCACCGCACTAACCACTCCCGACAACCAGTCCTACGTCTTCACGAATCTCAAGCCAAACACTGCGTACCGCGTATGTGTGACTGCAAGATTTCTTCAGCGTTCATCTGTAGTTACATGTGATTCCGTCAGAACAGGTGATTAGTGAATTGCATTTTATTTTACGCTAAATTTTTCTACAATAGTAATAGGGCTGGTAAGTAGGTCACCAACCAGTTCTACCGCTCAATAAAACATGCATGAGCCAAAGAACTGTTTGG